CCGGTGGAGAAAGAGTCGAACGAACCCGCCCCTGTTGTCAAGAGCTCCGGCTACTTCCAACGGGATGGAAACCTGCAGATGCGGACGAGTACAGGGACGGGGGTACTCGGTCAAGTAGCTTGCGCGTTACTTCGAGACTTTGGCCACAGCGTGTCTCAGTCGAAAACCATCACACGCTAAATCACGCTTTGTATGTAGCCATTCCTGATGGAGCCACTCTTGGCACGGAGGTGTTCTAGGCGCTAGCGCCGTGAGGACTTTGCCTTGCCTTCAGTACATAGAGTCCCCACGTGTTTTCGGGACACTTTTTCACACTGAAGCCAAGTCACCCTTTGTCTCGGCACGCTCCAACTTCTTTGGAGGGACTGTAGCCCCTCGGCAAATGACTTGACAAAAAAATTAGCGATTTTTTTTTGCGGAGGGATTGCGTGCTAGGAGGGTTAACATGCATGTGGTAAACATCAAGCCATGAAAACGGTACCGTTTTGTTGTTGTCTTGTAGTACGATATTCCTGTAGCCGTTCTCTTTTTGTGTTTGCTTTGCTCACCTCTACCCCCTGGAACGCACGCTTCAACGAACCGCTAGCCTCCATGTCAGCCTGCATAGATGAGACCGCAGCAGGCGCCGAGTAACAGAGAGAGGTAGCAAAAGACACATAGGTAGGCAGAGAGAGACGGGGGGCATAATACAATACAATTGTATTGTAGAGTCAGGAATCGTATCAGCAGCAGACAGTTGTCGCCGTCTTCGCAATTGAGGAGCCTTCCCTCTCTGCTCTGTACCACCTTCCTACCATCGGTGCTGGTCCTTCGCACGTGGACGCTTTACGTGGCCATTGGCCCACTACCCAAGAAACGCTACAGGACGTACATCGAACCTCGAAGGAGCGTATCGGAGGGCTCAGAAAAATCAACATCATTTGCAAAGACAAATACAGCAGTACTACGTTGTGCCGGTCGTCCCGGTAGTCTACATATAGTTGGTACCGCATCCTCGAAAACTTTCTAGTGGCCAAGGTCGGGGGTTCGACTCCCGGCGTAAAGGGAGCTTGTCTGGAAAAGCGAGTTTTTCTCTCGTTCCCGTTCATGCCCTGGGTGGAAAGCGCTAGTTCGTGTGTACACAGAGGGAAGAGAGTGCTGCACTCTTCTCGCATTAAAAACCAAAGGCAAAGCACAGCAGGACGGGTGGGCAGGGGGGCTTACGGAGAGGAACCCTTGTGTGTGATCATGAGTTGAAGTAAACGGCACAAGTGCTGTGAGCGCTGATATGAAGTGAAGACAAAAAAAAAAAAACACTCAAACTCTGTCTCTGTCATGATCTTTTCCTCTATCGATCTCTCTTTTGATTTCTGCTGTCCCTCCTCTTGGCACAAGTATAGAATATTAACAAAACTACTCCGAGTACATGTCTTTCCATCTCCCTTCTTCTCACCAGCCGCGCTTTCATGTCCGCTATCCTCTCCTCCGCCGAGCTAGCCGGCACGTCCACCAGCAACCCTCCCTCACAAAGACGGTATCGCATCACGCTGGGCCTGTTGCGCACGGCCACGCATTAGAAACATGAGGGGACACACAGACGGGGGTGGGCGGGCGGACGGACGGTCAGGTAGGCATTTGGTGCACTTGTACGGCAAGGGCGGAGGGGAGCCGTGCATCAGAGAACAGGACACGCCAAAGGGGTTCTATGGTCAGCGTGCCCTTCTTTCTTGGCACTACCGTGGCAGCGGCACTTGTAAGGCGGGACGGGAGGGAGGGTGTGGCTTCCTTTGTTTTCCGGCACGTAACGTCTCGTTTTTCCTTACTTTTTAGACACTTCGGCAAATCAGTACAATCCGACATGGGTCCAATGATCGAACCACACAACTCTGCAGGGCCTGAATCAAGCAGCAACTCCTTGCCGTCCATGCGGTGGTTTTTCCTTTCTAGGTATGAAAAAACCATCACCAAGACCCATGTCCCATCCTCTCGGCCCGCCCGTCTCTACACCCACGCACCTCATCATTGAGTTGTTGATGAACTG